CCCGTGTTCCTGAGCCGGTGTTCCTTTGTCAGACCTGGGACAGGGAAAGGATTGAGCAGTGGGAGGCTATTGCCTCTCATTTGCCAGGACTTCACACCACCCCATTCTCAACTGGGACTGCCTCACTTGGGGGTGAGGGGACTTGGGGACTGATTTCCAGGAACAGAAAGTGGTAGGTAGCCATCTCCCCACAGCCCCCCTGGCAGCACCTGAGGGCGATCAGCCTGTGGGGCCTCTCCCTAAGGCTGTTTTGGTAGCAGCTCCCTGACTGCAAGGTGCTCCCCATGTCTAGTGCAGCCCTTTTCAAAGCATGCAGGAGGCTCTGGGCCCAGAAGGCAGCCGCTGGGCTCTCACCTAGATGGACCAAAGGCAATAGAATAGCAAATAAGGTCCAGTGGATTCTGCCCCAAAGCTGAATTACCCTCTTAATGTCACCACCTCCTGCATCAGGGCTGGGCCCAGTTTTCTCTGCTCTATCCTCCCAGCACCCCACACCTAGCAGGCACTCAGCATCTGTTGAATGACTTTGTGTGCGTACATGGTGCTGTTTTACCAACCTCCTGAACATTCATAATCTGACTTCTGGATTATTCAGCAAACCTTTGCTAAGCACCTAGACATGTTAGCCCAGACTTGATACCGGAGAAATCCGATAAAGTTTACCAATCTGTCCTCCTCCAGCCACGAGCCCTGGCAGCCTTTATCTTTAGTCTCACTTCTCAATCTGAGTCCAGAGCGCAGCAGTGGGCGCAGCCAGACTGAGGAAGTGGCTGCAGCGAGGGCGTGCCTGGGTCCTGGGAGACACCCTGTTCTGAGGACACACTAGAAAAAGGAATTTGCTTTGACTTAGAAACCGCTCAGTTTTCCAAGAGGCTCCTAAAGAAGAGGCACGAGACCACAATGGGGTGTCCCCTGGTCCGTCCTGTCCTAGCCCTGGAGGCCTGGCTGCTATGGCCCAGAAGGGCACATGATGGGCAGTGAGTCTGGAAAACAGGAGGGCTGCGTACACGAAGGGACGCTCAGCTGGCCAGGGGCTCTGCTTAAGGGGGTAGTGGGCATAAGGACCAGGAAGGTGGTAGGACAAGGCCCTGGGCCTCTCCCCAAATTGTCCCACACAGACACCCCTACGTTAATGAAGGCCCCCAGCTCAGCTTAAAGCCAAGATCTCACATAGCTTGGCTCTGCCAGGAGGAGGAGGGGGGCAGCAAGTGAGCCTGAAAGGAAAGGACACTTGTCCTTCCAGGGTGTGGGCAGTGGAGGGGGCGCAGCCTGAGGTCTCCACACAGGTGCAGGCACCCAGGCTCTCTCCAGATGAGTCTCAAGGAGGAAAACTCAGTCTTGAGCTTTCTGGGACTCAGGGCCAGGCAGTGGATGGCTGGGAGTTGGCACCAGAGACTCCTGAATCCAGCTCTCCCACTTGCCGTTGTGTATTCATTGAGTCACTTCACTCACAGGACCTCAGTTCCCTTGCCTGCCAGATGGAGATGGTACCATTTTTTCATCGATTCTAAGTAGCACAGTTTTTTCACACTTTATCTCTGACCAGAATGAATTTGTACAGTTGTGGCTTCTTACAGTTAAGACTGGCAGCCTCCCCCTCCCAGTGGTACATAAAATGGTCCATTTTATGAGCGGCAGTATCTTAGATATGACTCATTATGGCAAAAAGACCAGCCTCACCGGATTAACACATGAAGGCACCTCCATCACCCAGTGCCAAGGCACATAGCAGGTGCAAAATAAAAAATAGTGGTTCTTTTTCCTCTTTTCTCTTGTCCCCTTCTCAAGACAGAACATAGATGGGGATGTGAGCATCTCCTCTCTAACACTGAATAAATCAGTTCAGAGCGTCAGGAAATGTCTGGTTTTTAGAAGCTAAACACCCCCTTAACTCCTCTTGCAAACAGGGTGGCTATTTATAGCAGCTGTGGAGCAGGTTAAGCAGGCCACTAGCTCCTTTCTTCCTGGGTAACAGGTCTCTGGGAGCGTGCCTGGTCCACCCTTGGGTCCAGGCCCTCAGTCACTGGTTTCCTGGTGGTGGCTGTACATAACCCTGGCTAGAGCTCAAGGTAAAAGCCAGGAAGAACAAGTGGCAGGAGAGAGGAAGTGACTCCCCTAGACTACTGAGACCACCAGAGCTGTGACTGCATCTCAATCCAGTCAGGGGGACAGCAGACTGAAGAACCAAGGGCTGGGTGACAAGTCCTCCCACACAGGGCCTGTGCATGGCCCCACCAATGCCCAGGACATGGGAGAAAGATTGTGCCACAAAATTAAAATGTGGGCACATTCCCCAAATTCACTAGAGAAAAGTAACCAATCAGGGGTTCTTGCCAGGGCAAGAGGGAGGGAGGTCTGAAGTTAGGGCCAGGGCAGTCAACTATGACCATTCTACCATTCTCAGCTGGAGGAGGAGTAGCCCAAGACCCCCAGGCACTGACTGGTCTATGGGACCTGATTTGATGAGGGGCTGGTCACTCAGACACCCAGGAGTTGTTTGGTATATGACTACATAAATTCTCTGAATGTTTTCCTCTCTTCCTCAGCAGATGAGCAGGTTAGGAATTGTAACAAAAATGCTTTTTCTTTGCAAGGTGTCTCAGGCTTTTTAGGATGTTGTGCTGGTCCTCCTAAGAGATCTTGGAGTGCTCAGGTTCTAAACTTCCAAATGGGAACTGAAAAACAGACAGGCTGAAGGACTTTCCTAAAGGTACAACACAGAACAGGGCAGGGGTGGAGCCCAGAACTAGGGACAAAAAGGAAGGAGCACGCCTGGACCACCTGTTATCCCAGGTGTGGTCTGAGATTTTGTAGAGATGGGCAGGGCTGTGGGGGTGGGGTAGGACCAGGGTCTTGAGAAATACCAGCAAATAGGCCTGGGAAGGGGAGAATCACAATGCCAGCATTTTCAGTCACTGTCTCAATTATTAGTTAACACACTTATCAATTAACGTGTAGTAACCAGCAGAGGAAGATGAACTGAGAATCAGAACAAGGGCCAGTCACAAAGTCCTGGTTCCTCCCACTCCTGCCAGCAGGTCACCCTAGGAGTGCCCACACACAAGGTTAGTGCCAGGCCCAGGGGTGACAATAGGAAACATGGACAGCTGTCTGTACCATGGAGTGGCATTTCCAAGTCCAGGTGAACCACCTGCCTCTAGGGTTCAACCCCTCCTCCAGGAAAGAGAACGTGCAGCTCCTCTTCTTAGAGAAGGGGACGGGGATCAAAAAGCCTCCAGAGATGGAGTCAAGGTGCGATGTGCTTATTATTAGGCTATCTGGGGTCAAGGGGTAAAAAGATGACACAGCCCAGAGTGCTCAGCGGCAGCACCCCTCCAAGACTGCATAAGAAATGAAAAAAAGCGATTTGTTCTCTTATGTTCTCCGCCTACCTTCCCCTCAAGGAGTTGCTGCTTTGGAGCTGTAAACAATGAGTTATTTTTGCCTCCCCTTAGAAAATCTGAGTGTCTTTTCTATACCACCCAAGGGAGTTCTGTTTAGGTTCAGGCTTTGTACATTCAAAACGAGCTTCTGTCACAACCCCAGAAAGTGAACAATTTCGAGTCACACTAACACCTGGGCTCTGGATTGCACATTCCGCAGTGTTCAGTAACTTCCCAGAGCCGGGATACCTGGGTAAAATCCCCACATGTTCTCTCTCTCTCATTCCTCTCACATTCTCTCTCTAGTCTCTGGCGCCCTCCCTGCCCTCCCCTTCTCTCACACACACTCAACCTAAACCCAGAAAGAAGCATTGCACAGACAGAAGATGCTGTTTCCCAGCTAAAAGGTCACCAAGGGGATGGGTGATCTGCCAGGCAGTTCCTGAGCTCGCTCTTGGGACGACCTTTTGGGGGCAAAGCACTTTTGAGCCAGAAGCATCCCTTGCTAGGCTCAAACCCCCGGGGCCCATTCTCCATGACTGTCACATCTTGCCAACCACTGGAGAGATGGCTGTTGCCCCTGAACTCCCTGGAGGCCATGGTGGTTGCCTGGCTCAGGGAGGTTTCAGAAAGGTGACCCTGCTCTGGCCAAGGCCTGTGGGCAGGCCCGGCTATGGCCTGTAGATCTTAATGACGTCCTTGATGGGCCGCCGACAGATGGGGCAGCAGGCACGAGCTTGCCGCTTGAGCCGCAGACCACAGCTGTGGCACAAGCACATGTGTCCACACGTGTAGATGACTGTGTCCACCTCGCCATCGAAGCACACCGTGCACTCGCCATTCTTGCTGCCTGCTGGCTCCGGTGGGGAGAACACGGGAGACACTGGGGGGCTCAGTGGGGAGCTGGGGGCTGTCACTGACGAAAGAGAGAGCAGGACATGTGTTAATAATCTGTCTCCCAGGCGGGCTCTGCTGGGGCAGCCCCAAGGATAAAGAGCTTCTTGATGGAACTGGTAGGGGAACAATTTTGGAAAATAGCAATTTTGGGTTACCTTCCAGGTTTTACACCTTTCTCTACCCTTCTACTGCCCCTCCACCCTCTCACTAAGATAAAACACCTCCATCATCACCCCTTGACATCTCCTGTGTAGACACTTCTCCTCCCCCTGGCTGAACATACAGCTGAGGGAAGGCAAGGATGCAAGGGGAACAGCAGCGCCCTGCTCAGCCCTGGGAAGGCACAGCTGAAGGGGCCAGGTTGGTCACCAGCCCCTGCTCTTACCAGGGTTTGTATTTTCTTACCCAGGGATGACTCAGATGCCGAGGAGGACTGGTTGACACTGAAGGTCATGTCTGAATCACTGTCATCTTGGGAGCCACTGAGGGACCCTGAAGGAGTCGTGGTCGTGGGACTGGACTGCAGGGTACCTGAGACCCAGAGAGACTCTATCAGAGCAGTGGAAGGCTGGACCTGCCCTGCCAGTGCCTGGTTTTCACTCCTTCTCACCTTAGCTTCCGTTTGTCTAACGAGAGGACCAGTGCCACCTCCCTTCTGCTAAGGACTAATGAGGGCATGCAAGTGTGGGGGAGATTTGTTCTCTGCCCACCCAGCTTCCTTTTAGGAACAGCACTGGGTAGTACTCCATCGCCCCCCCCCCCCAGGCCAGGCCAGTAAGAACTTCCATTGCTTGGTCTCCACAGTGGTTCAGGGAAGGCAATGTAACCTAAGCAAGACCACAAAGGCCCAATTCTGCGACTTCCACTAGAACTATCAAGAAAGAAGGGGCTTACTCCACTGGCAGGGAAGCTTGGAGGTAGAAGGGCCATCCTGTGATGAGAGCCTGCCTGGGTGAAGCCATCATAGAGGCAAGAACTTTGAGATGAATAGAGAGATGGGATCCTGATGACATCCTTTCAACACTTAGATCCAGCTATTCCTGAATCCACCCAATATACTCCCAGACTTTTGAGTTATGTGTACCCATAACTTTCCTTTTGTTGCCTAGGACACATTGGGCTTTTGTCACCACCTGACTACTTGTGTTCAACATGGGTGAGTTTTCATCCTCAAGCTTACTGTGGGTTCAGATAATAGATAATAATAGGTTATTTCTTAGGATGGAAATGCCGCTTTCCTTACCCTACTAGAAGACCAATGGACTAGGGGCAACTCGTAACTCATGCTATGTCTGATGGTGCCTCAAAACCCTCAGGCATCCTGCCCTCCTCTGCCTTCATTTGGGCAGCAAGAGTTTCTGATACTATAACCACGAGGGCTATGTCAGGCCCTGCTGAAGGCATCATATGTGCCACATCATTTCTTCCTCATGACGACCCCATGGTGCAAGTATTACGATTTCTACACAGAAGGATGTGGAGTCTCAGGAGAGTCTGTGACTTGTTTAACATCTTTATAGCTGATCAGCTATGTGACTCTGGGACAGCCATTTAATCGCTCTGTGTTTCAGTACTGTTATCTGTAAATGGGGATAAGAATACTGAGTTCACAGGGTTATCAGGAAGATAAAATTTAATGAGATAACCTATGAAATACTGACTGGTTGTTATTATTTGTACTTTACTTCTTGAACCATGAAATTTGATCTGTACTATCTGGGAAGCCTTCCATGACCACCACTCTCAATGCACCAAGCTGGGGAGAGAGGCCCCTTTCTGTGGCATATGTCACCCCATGCAGCTCTCCATTCGGCTATCTGTATCCTGTCCTCTGTAGCCCCATCCTAGAGCTGAGTCCTTGTCCACAGCTGGTGGGCACTCCCTATTTGTGGCATGGTAATGAAGGCAAGAATCATCTCAGAATAGGGAGGTTTAAGTTTCCATTCCCTTTTCTGTGGAGGGTGCTATTCTCATTTCCTCTCTTACATGTACATAGTCGAATGAATTTCTCCTTTCCACACTTAACATGCATGGCACACGTCATTTAAAACACCCAATGTTACAAATCATAACAGAACTACAGTATCAAATGAAAGTCGCACTAACCATTGACTAACCGCATACAGCGTGCCAAGTCCTTGGACCAGCCGGTAACCTATCTAGGCTGGAGGTTTACAAAATGTGGTCCTTTACAAAAGGGAGCAACAAAGGCAGCATCCCCTGCACGGCTGTCATCAATGCACGTTCTCCGGAAACTCTGGGGGCAGCCCGGCAATCTCGGACAGGGTGATGGGGATGGACGCTCACAGCTGGGGGATGGCAGGCAGGGCCGAGGGGGTGGCGACCGTCAGGAGGCGGGAGCCGGCGGGTGGGCGGGGCACGGGTGTGGACACGTGCGGGGCACTCACCTAGGAGGCGCAGCTGGCCTGCCGCGCCGCCGCGCACCGCAAAGAAGGCCCAGAGCGCCTGCGTAGTGTCGACGCACAGCAGGCGGCCGCGCGGGCGCCCGTTGACGCCCAGGAGCACGTCGCCGCCGGGCCGCAGCGTGAAGCTGAGCGCGTCGCCGCCGGCCGGTACGGGCCCCGCGCGCGCCACCACCCAGTACTCCTTGCGGTCGAGCAGCGCGTCGGGGTCAGCGGGCAGCTCGTTGGGCCGCAGCCCGCCCGGGTCGCAGGACGTGATGCCGAAGGCCAGCGCCCCGGGCGCCGCCAGCCCTGGACGACCCACCTCCACGAAGAGGCTCTCGCCGGGCCGCAGCGGGCGCTCGGAGAAGACGAGCGTGCGGCCGCCGTCGGGCCGCGGCGCGCAGGCCACTTTGCGGTCTGCCGACAGGCTCACGTCGGGCCCGCGCGTCGCGTGGAAGCGCAGGTCGGCCTCCAGCAGCGCCGGCGATGACGCGGGCCGCGGGCGGTCGCGGGGCCCGCACGGGATGGCCGCAGCCGCGACGTCGGCGGGCAGCGGGCCCGGAGCACGGCCCAGCGCCAGGTGGCCCAGCTTGGCCACCACCTGGTTGTTCTCGAGCTCGTTGTTGTCGAAGTTGGCGGCGTCGTGGCTGCTGGGCGATGGGCAGGTGCTGAACCGGGCCTGGCTGAGGCGCGTGGACGTCAGCGTGTCGGCGAAGGCGCTCTCTGGTGGGACAGGGGGCCGCGTGAGTGTGGGGCCTGGGCCATTGAAGCTCCCGCCCCTACGCCGCCCCGACTCTCTGTTCGTTTGCGGTCTTGTGTAAGGAGTCACGGGTGCACAGAATTGGATTAAGCACAATCCAGGTCTACTTAACACACTCTTTCTTTGAGGATGGGCAGAGAAGGCCCTTCTTCCTTTCTTTTCGCTCTCTCCTTCCTGACCTCCTTTTCCCTTGCCGCCACCTCTTCCACCCCTCCTTCCCTTTCTCTCCACCTTGTCTCTCTCCGTCTCCCCTTCTCTCCCTCCTGGATCCCCCTTTTCCTTCTTTCTCTTCTCGCCACCTCCCCTGCGTTTCTCCTTCTTTTTTCTCCCCCCCACCGCTCTCCTTTTCTGCCTTATATTCTTTTGAACATTCAAAGGGCATTTGAAAATCCTTTATTGTCACTCGCCCCTACTAGAACACAAGTTCCAATAAAAAAGAGCAAACCTGCATTCGTGGCCTTAATAAGCTCCTTTCACATTATCTCATTTAATCATCACAACCACCCTCTGTGGTATGTACTATTACTCCCAGCCACTGAGCTGAGGAGGAGCTGAGGCATGGAGGGAGGGAACATCACCAAGAGCACATTGCTACTAAGTGGCAAAGCTATGGGCCTGAACCCAGACTGTCTGGTTTCAGAGTCTGGGTTCTTCAACACCTCCCTGAAAGAAGGGAGGACCTGGGCCTGTCCTCATTGCTGTGTGCACAGCACAGAGCACCAGGCCTGGCCCTGGGCATGTCTCTAAACATTGAAATAGTAAGGTCTTTGTGAGAGGTGCACTCGTTCTATAAAACAGGAAATGAAGGGAAAGTTCTTAAAAAGTTAGTTATGAAAATATTTTTTGAGTAATTTCTAGTGCTGTGAAAAGATGTTCTTCATACTATGTTATGGTTGTATAACAAAGCAAAGATAATGTTTATCATCCGGGTAATAAAGATCTTCATACTTTGGTAGATTACTTATTTATTTTTCTGTCTCCCTGGCTACAATATGAGTCCCCAGAAGGCAAGGTTGTCCACTCCCTTGTCTCAGGGCTTAGCAGAGTGTATGACAAATAGCCTTCATCATCAACAGTTTATGGATGAATAAATGAATGAATATGGTCTCTAGAAAAGACTGCTAGACTGAAAGACAAAGAAAAAGCCATTAAAATATTTTGAAAATTTTCTTACTGATGAAGATGTTCTTGTCAATCCTTAATAGAGCATGCTTCTCAGTTTTACTTTTTTTTTTTTTGCAGTTTTTGCCCAGGGCTAGGTTTGAACCCACCACCTCCAGCATATGGGGCTGGCACCCTACTCCTTTGAGCCACAGGTGCCGCCCGCTTCTCAGTTTTAAACAGACTGTTCTCTAGCCAAGATTTTGTTAAATATTACCATTCTGTAGTATCACAAAAAAATTTTTCTCTTTTTAGTTTTCCAAATATAAAGTGAAATAATAATGAATGTGCTTTTTCAAACCGTATGCCCTAGGCTCCATGAGAATCTTATATGTACCCTCCCAGACACATTTCACTTAAACTGGATTTATAGCTTCTCTTGGGAAAGTCAGGTCTGCTAACAGGGCCTGAATTCTAATATGACAACAATGGGCTAAAGCTTGCCCTTTTATTGAGGTTGGTAGATCTTACTTTCCCTAAAGCCCCAAGGTCATCCTCTTCACCTGACTCAGCTACTTGTTTGGGCTCCTTGGGCATCTTAACTGTGTGTACTTTGCCTCCCCATAGCCTGAGGAAAGAAGTGCATTTTCAGTGTTTTAAAAAGTATATATGTGTGCCTATGCGTCTGTACTTGTCTCTCTCATTTTATTTATGCATAGGAAATCAAGTGCTGGAGAGAAATGTAAGAAAAATGGTAATTATCAGAAGTGAGACTAAGAAGGAGTTTTCTTTAGATTTTTCTAAAGAAAAATTTCCTATAGCAACCCAGGTTTTCTACAGTAACCGTGTACACTCCTAGTTTTTATCAAAAAAATCAAAAATGTTTTTAAAAATCAAGTTTTTAATTCATATTTAACAATATGGGGGAAGTGCCCATGATACAACATTAAGTGAACAAAAGAGGATACAAAGCTAAGCAAATGGTTTGGCTCTATTTTGTTGGAAATGTGTGCATGGGTTGCACAGGGAAAAAATGAGATACATCAAAAATTGGGGAGTGGTTATAATCAGTAAAGAAATTTGCTCTTTACTGTTTTCTGATTTCCTCATTTCTCTCTAATGTTCTGATTTTGTAATCAGAAAAAACGTGTACAAAGAAAAAAGCAGGCACTTTTTAAAAAAAGGATTTTAGACAAGTGGATGTTTCTAAGAGTCTCTTGGTATAATGTACTTTTCCCAGGGCTCCTCGTCCCACCCAGTTTCCCTGCCAGGCCAAGATTAAAGGCACTAGCTTCAGTTTGTCCTGGGCCCCTGCTAGCTCTGCTCACAACCCCAGTGTTCCTCCTCCTTGGCCCTAGTGGCTCCACACAGGAACCTGTCCTTCAGGGCAACATCCTCATTAAGGGCATGGCCTGTGGAGTGGGCTGACTTGGGTTCAAGTTCTGGTTTTGGCTCTTCCTGGCTTTGTGACCTTAGGAAAGTCATTTCACCTCTTGGAGTGTCAGCTTTGTGTACATGGAATGTTAGTGGTAAATCCCTTTGCCCTCACCACTCTGTTATGGATATTAAATTACTTTTATAAGGAATATAACACAGAGCGTGGCTCTAAGTGCTCAATTAAGTGCACATTAATTATGATCATTCCTTCAGCATTCAAAATGTGTAGAGCACTCCCCATGTGCCAAGTGCTGCTGGGCACTGGGCAAATAGAAGGGGACACACAGGCCTGGATCCTGTGTTCACAGAGTGCCCACTCCAGTGGGAGGGACAGACTCTATAGAATGAAGCCATCTTACAGAATGCTGATGAGTGCCCCCAGAAGCCACCATGCACAGGCAAGTGGGGCGCACTGAGAGGTAAAGTGAATTACCTCAGGTCACAGTGGGGATCAACAGACCTGAGATTCTCTGAGAGTGTGTGTGTAAAAGGAGAATTTTAAAGATTGGGGCCTAAGAGTGAGCCAGAAAAGATCTCCCTGATAGTAGTGAAAGGGAGGTCTGAAGGCCAAGGCCATAGTAGCCAGGTGAGAGTAGAGTGTGAGCATTCCAGGCACAGAGGCACTGGAGGCTCAGTGTATTTGCAAGGCTGGGTTACAGTAAACATCAGAAAATGCTACATCTCCTCACTTTAATCTCTATGCAAGGAGCTTATTCCCCATTGGGCATGGGGCCTGACAGGTCCAGGATGGCATGGTGCTGGCCTTGGTTGTACACTCCAGAATCAACTGCTCAAATGGGCATTTCTTCTATGGAAAATCAGTCAGCTATAGGCAGAAATCCAGCAACATCAAGAGGCCACCAAGGGAGCGTTCTGAGACTACCCAGCTCCTACCTATGGCTTAGCTCCAAGCCCACTCTTTGGATCCAATTCAAATGTACACAAGTGTTATTGACCATTTGCAAGATGCAACCACATACATTGATTATCTCCATCAGTCCTCATGACTATTCTAAATGGTTCCGTAAAAATGGGCACATTTCACAGCGAGAGAATACTGAGGCTCTGAGAGGTGGAGTTACTGAAGGTCACACAGCCTAGAAGTGACAGTACTGGTATTCTAACCCAGATTGGGACTACAGAGCCAGGCCCCTTGACACTAGCAATACTGGCTCCAAATTCAGCCAGAGTGAAAATGAAAATGAAGGCAGGGAGAACTGGAGACAGAGGGCCTATCAGTCACTTCCCTGTCTCTGAAGGACTGATTCGGGCCATGTGCTGGTGGCAGAAATGACAGGACACACTGACAGAATGTATATAGGGCCAGGTAAAGAGGATTCAAGATGACTCCTGGGTTTTTGGCCTGATCAACCAAGTGGGTAGTGGCGCTTATTGCCAATGGGGCCTGCTGGGGAGCAGGAGGTGGAGGGGGCTCAGGAGTTCTGTCTGAGTATATCAGTGTGGGGCACCTCTTAAAGTCAGCCAAGGCTTGATGAGTGGGGACTTCCTGGAGTTCAGGGGAGGTGTTAGGGCTGGGGAGATGGATTTGGGAGCCAACGGTTCAGAGGTGGGACTCAGAGCCCAGTGATGGATCATTTGGGTAAAAAGGGTAAAGAGAAACAGCCCTGCTTTCTGCCAATTTGTTGAACTCCACAGTCGTTCCTGATACTTTCTTGTATGCATGCGGTATTACTCAGATTAAGACAGTTAAAAGGAAAGAGAGATTGAGCTGAGGCTGGAACCCTGGGGCTCTCACATGTGGAGGCCAGGCCCAGGAGGAGGGGTGTGGGTGGGAGGGAGGGGAGAGGCTGGGAGCTAGGCAGGCTCAGGGCCATGAGGAGTGGCAGCATCTCAGCAGCGGGCCAGGGTCACCTGGGTTAAAGCCAGAGGCTGAATGGATTGCGGGGGATGCTCAGGGTCTAATAGGCTGAAAGGTCAATGCTGGGTGGGCCCCAGCCTGGGGTGGGAGTGGGGAAGGAGAGGGCTGGTGGACAGCACTTGGGAAAGACCTGCCCTGAGGAAGGACAGAGAGATGGGACTGTGCCTGGGGCAGAGGAGAGACAGTCAAAGGGGTTTCTAAAAGGTACCATGGGAGTGCTTTTATGCTCCTGGGAATGATTCAGTGGAGAATGAGAAGGGGACACAGAAGAGGTGGGAGGTGACGGGGCACAGCTATAATCTGTGGGCACAGGAGGCAGCCCAAGTGGGTGGGCACAAAGGGAGGGGCTGGGGGATCAAGGAGAGAAGTCAGGGACTGTCAGTCTGCGCATGACTGGCAGGACCCAGGTCTGTGGGCCACCAAGCCCATGCTTTTCCGGATGCTGTCCTTCTGTCAAACAAAGATGGCTGGACTCGGGAGACAGACTCTGGCCAGTCCTGGCTGTGACCTTGTTTCCCCACCTGCAAACTCGGGATCTTCACCCTA